TTTATATGAAGTCTTAAGACATTTACTTATGTTTAAAAAAAATCCAATAGCATTGTAATCAAGACTAAATAGGTATATTATCAACATCTTGTGGTTCTTTTTTAACTTCTGAGTGAAAAGTTAAAACTTTCAGTGTGCTTTTTTACATGCTCTTACTTTGATCAGCTCTTTGTGTTTTCAGATAGAAAGTACATGGAGGAATTTTTTCATTAGAGTTAAAACTTACTTTCTAATTCTCACATTACTGTTAGGAGTCAGGAAAAAGACAAACCTGAGGAATTCTATCAAGCAATTTGAAAAAGGACACAGAAGAACCTGCTATTCAGTATCACTGATAATTCATGTATAGTAGCAATCCTGTAATGGATACGAAGATTGCAATGTGGTATCATCATCTCTCTATAGACCGTGTAGTGTGTCATTGGAACGGATTGAAAGGCCACTAATTCTATACCTTGAGAAATAGTTATGGATCTTGCCACATGAATCCTTAGTAAATATTTCTCATGGTCTCGTTTCCATGAGATACTTAATTTCTGAAGTAATAAAGAGTTATTCTTGTTATTCTGAAATATTTCTGTGGAAGATATTTTAGGATTTATCCCAGCATTAAATCCAGATACTTGCTGAAATTATTTGTGTCTTTCTTTTACTCCAGAATTTTAATTTTTAAAAAGCTTTAGCAAATTGGGTGGCAATTTAGGCAAATTGGGCAGCAAACTGACTGAATGGCTCAGTCACTTAAGTGACTGACTCTTGATCTTGGCTCAGGTCATGATCTTACAGTTTGTGATCTGCATTGACAGTGTGGACCCTACTTGGGATTCTCTCTCTCTCCCTCCCCCATTCACTCTCAAATAAATAAACTTAAAAAAAAAATTGACAAGCTTTAGCAAATTAAAATTATATTATCAAAACCGCACAAGAAAACCGATCTCAAATATTTATTTATTTTTGATAACTTAAAAAGTTTTGAATATAAGCGTTAAATTCAGTACATTCAAGTCATTTTGCTTAAGGGATGAAGATTTAGGGGAAAAAAAAGAAAAGAACCGTGTTTGAATCACGCCATCTGGAATAAGTGCTGTTGTTTCTCCCTCGCTAGGCACTAGCCACAGCTCCCACTCTGTCCAGTCAAGCCTGGTCAGACAGTCCCCTGCTCGGGCCTCAGTGGCCAGCCAGTCGTCTTACTGCTACAGCAGCCGGCACTCGTCTCTCCGGATGTCCACCACGGGGTTCGTGCCCTGTCGGCGCTCGTCCACCAGTCAGATATCGCTCCGGAACTTGCCGTCCTCCATCCAGTCCCGCCTCTCCATGGTGAACCAGATGGAGCCCTCCGGTCAGAGCGGCGTGGGCTGTGTGCAGCATGGCCTCCCCTCTTCCAGCAGCTCCAGCCAGAGCATCCCGGCCTGCAAACATCACACTCTCGTGGGCTTTCTTGGGACAGAGGGAGGTCAGAGCAGTGCCGCCGACGCCCAGCCGGGCAACCCCTTAAGTCCTGCCAATAATTCACACGCCAAAAGGGGGGAAGTGATTTACAGAGTCCAAGTGAGTAAGCCCACAGTTCTGGCACTGTCTCACCTGTTTGTGTTTATTTCTCATTTGTCGGGTGGAGGATGCTGGTGAAAACACACCTCATATTACTTAGTCTGAAGACTAGGACGTTTTTGAATGTTGAAAAAAGTTTCTGCCAGCCTGAAAACTGGAGGCAAGTAGTTTCTCAGTGGTGATTGTTGTTCCGCACTCAGCTGTTGTCATGTGGCCCTGGCAGTAAGGTCTGCTGTAGGCTAAAAGGAATTCAGGAGGTGGCCTTTCAGATTGTTTTTTGTCCAGTTATAGGCCATGGAGAACTTGAGACTTAGTCTGGGAAAGAGATTTTACTTGAGATTATATAATCTGTCATCATCAAGAAAAAAATTGAATTAGAAATGACCCATATTTATTTACAATACAGATCGTGGATCCCAGTCAAGTTCTGGATGGGATCAACCTATCAAAAAGGAAAGAGCTGCAGTGGCCTGATGAGGGTGTCCGGTTAAAAGCTGGGAGAAACAGCTGGAAAGACTGGAGTCCTCAGGAGGGCATGGAAGGCCATGTGAGTTCTCTTACGAAACTGACCCCTGCTCTCACTTTTTGTGTAGCCTGACCGACTTGTGTGCACGTTTTTAGCTAATTGATGCTCATGCTTTTTTAAATGCACCTTTTGCTGAATTATCAAACAGAATGACTGTCTCTAATTTTAAGTGAAGTTTGCAAATACATTCAAGGTCCCTGCCACTAATTTATTTTATTCTGAATCATTAGGTGATTCACCGATGGGTGCCTTGCAGCAGAGATCCAGGTACTAGATCCCACATCGACAAGACAGTACTTCTGGTCCAGATTGATGATAAATATGTGACTGTCATTGAAACCGGGGTACTAGAACTTGGGGCTGAAGTGTGAGCCAGTGTTTTATAACTACATTTCTCTTCCCTCTCCATTCCGAGACGTTGGAAAAAGAGAGGAGAGCGCAGAAGACGCCTGCAGGTTTTCCTCTGCTCCTGTGTGGGAGATACTTGGATGTAGAGTGGGCTCGGCCAAGCGCCTCTCCTTCGCCCTTCACCCTGACTCCTGTCACTGTTTCCATCCCCAAATAAAGCTGAACTATTTTTTTAAGTTAGCTGCCGACAAAACATTTTGCATGAAGGATAAAGTTCTGTTAAATTACATCCTTACAAAAATTTTTTTCCTATGCATTGCCTATGCTTTAAATCAACAAACTCTTCATTTCTAAACTACGATCTCATATTTTTCTAATTTCTTTGCCAAAAATAATTGCCATGTTTTGTCATAGAACATGAAATCCATTTACCTTGATTTTTAAAAACAGACCAGTGTAGAAACCTTCACTTTGACGTTTAGCAGTATGAAAGTTTCATGTACAGTGAAAGAGACTATGAACAGACATAGATTTATCTTATTCCTTGAGCGCTAAAAAACTTTAATGAGAAAACTGCACTAATTTTTTACAACAATGCACTAAAGTCTGAGATTTCTCAGAACATTTATTTATATATAAAAATAAAATACCATTATTTAAATTGCCTTTGGGATTAACCCCTGCCCTTTCCTTAAACATACATAGCAGGAACTGTGCTGCTCATTTTTTTGTCAGTAACCTATACTCCATTGCCAGTACATTGGGTGTTTTCTCTAAAATGAACGTTAAGGGTCAAGAGGTACATACCTTCATCGTTGGAGATAGCGGTCAGTGCGTCGGTCCTGTGAACACCACTGCCAGCTCCTGTGTCCACACATCGGAGGCGCTCCAGCACCGGTGTGCCCCAGCTCCTCTTGGGGCAAGCTCTGCTGGGGTCAGTTCTGGGAAGAAAATACTTTTATTTTTCAAAGAAGATGAGCATCCAGGAACTTAAAAAAAGGATCGATTGCTTTTCTATTCAGAGTCATTAGCTCTTGAAGTTACTCACATGCAGTTCAGTTAATCAAGTAAAATTTTTTCAAACGAAATTATCCAGATGGTGCAGTTCTTGTTATGTCCCTCTTCAATAACCTCGCCTCTTATTTTGCTCCTCTCTTCTTTTTCTATTACTTGAATTTTATTTCCTGTAATTTATAGTGTGTAGGTGTAATTTGAAATATTTATAACTGTGAAATTGACTTAATATGTTGTCTCATAACTTAAATTTTATTGGTTTTTTTTTTTTTTTTTTAAATACGCGTGTATTCAGGGAAATATATAATTCAGATTTACAATTGGGCTAGGTGGAAACTGTGGTTTAGATTTAATTTTCAACTTCCGGCATTTTTTAAATCCTTCCGAAAACTTTCCCCTTTTGTGTGAAACTCCAAAGAATATGTATACATCTCCTGAGCATTTAGGAGCAGCCATCTTTCCACCCCACTGCAAACGGGAAGTAGAAAGCAGGTGTGAAGTTAATCTTCAATGTGTATTTTATTTAGTCTGATACATCCAGAGTGTTACTCTTTCCCCATGTGGCGCTAGCCACATTTCAGGTACTCACCGGCCACATGTGCCTGGTGGCTCCTGTATTGGACGACACAGGTGTAAAGTATCTTTTGATGAGGTGACAGGAGAGAGAAGCTGTTTCCGCACTAACCCCTACTGTCGCTCTCACAGTATAGCATAACACTTCCGTAGATGGAATGAAAACTAACATCCGACTACATTTCCATTCCACAGTGTGGTTATTTTGCCCTTTTCTAATTTACAGTTTTCGTAGTTATTCAGGATCCAGTGTACCTCGTGCTGACATTTCCAGACTTTGCGCTTTGCCAAATGTACTTTTTAAAAACATTTGTCAAGTGATTTACTGAACCTTTACACAAAGGTACCCATTCTAAATTGACCAACTAAAACGTATTTTCCTGATACTGTTGTTACATTCTGTATTTGCCGCATTTTGGCAAATCTACAGTATGTCATTAAGGTCCAAGGCTTTTATGTTTCTCTTCTGAAACCGAATATATGATCTGTCTATCTAACCATCTATATTTATTTAAAATCTTCTCAAAGGAATTATGATTCCTGCTGCCTGTTCTCTTTCTGAAATGAATATGATCTTTTCATGGTCATTACCTAGATGGGAAGATACGTGGAATCATTTCAGTCCTAAATGGAAGATAATTCATTTGCCTACACAGAAGAAAAAAAATCTGAGCTTCAGATGATTCAGTCAGAAGGGCTATTCCTAGCCTCACACCCCCTACCCCCAATTGTTAAACACATTACACGCTCTAAAAATGTAAGACTAGATTTTATATGGAACATATATATTGGGTCTTGATTTGGCATGATAACTGTGGACATTCTTCTCAAAGCAAGTTGAATTTTGTTATCAGATAACCCTTGAAGGAATTTATGGAATAGAAACCCTAACAGGAGCCCTGTTTTTATTTTTTAGTCTAAACCTGATGGTCTTTTAAAAGTCAGAATACTTTTCTAATAATTACGGCAGAGGAAGCAGTGATAATTGAAGACTCATGTCTTAACAACTGGACCTAAATTATTATGTGGAAATATACATGCTTTCATTGAGTAAATTGATCATACATGTCTTATTCTGCCTTTCCCAGCCCCCCTTGGAGAATAGTGAACTGCTTATTTAGATTCCCTGCTTAACTGTCTTCATTAGTGTACAAGACTCCAGCATACACACACTAGTGTCTTCAGTTCACATTTGCCAAAACTTTCAGAGTTCCATAATTTGAAAGTAAGAATATGTCATTAAAACACTAGCTTTTTATGCATTTCCCTTCAACAGAGTCTCATTGATACCTTTCTGGTCTTTGTCTTGTTTGAGTTTGTTTTTTCCCTTCTTTTGAGAGAGAGTCCTGGAGTGAATTATAAATTGTTACTTTCTTTTCTCATTTCCTCTCATTCAGTGGCAAAAATCATTTTACAACTCAAAATTAAGTTTTTGGTTAATCTTCGAGCTTATAACTTGGTGTGAGCCCTCTTTTTTACATCATTTTCAGTACTTGATAGAAATTTAAATGTTCATTTTTTTCTAAAGAAATCTAAATTTTCCAAGAGTATAGATTAATATAAGATGTTGGTATTTAAGGGACTTGGGAGAGTAGGTGGTGAGGCTGTCTATTTTTACGATAAGAGGAGATTAATTACCTTTCAGGAAATTAATGAACAATCTTCACCAGTGTTCTGCCTTCTTTGAGTTTCTATTATTGGAAGGTGAGCTTCCCTTAGATTTGAAGTCGTTTTAAAAATATTTCAAGTGTAACTGAGATACTTCTACTAGTCCTTGAAACAGAAGTAGACAGATAGTATTTCTATCCTGAGTGAGGTATGGAAAATTATTCTGTGTACCGAATGTCAGGTCATAGAAGTTTTTATGTAGAAATTAAGTTTATAAGGAAGATGGGTTTTTCTTCTTGGGTTGGTTTATTTTTCTGTCTTCTATCAAAATATAAAAAACAGCTTCAAACCTAAGCAAGAGTAGTTAACTTAGCCTTAATAAATTCCACTTTGCTTCCATGCAACGTCCTTCTGCCTCTGCTTAGAAATTCATTTGGTGGATTGCTGCATCGGTCCAGAACTAGATGTCTTTTAAACTTACGATTTGCCCAGAGTCTAAAATTATCTTTTTCTTTTAGTTAACTTTCAAAAATCTTTCCTTCTAAATATATGACTTGAGAAAAAGATACCTTAGTAATTTTGCATAAGAATTCTTTGAATTTATGTTCACTAGCTATTAAACTATAAACTGCTACCCAGATTAATTACCTTTGTGTTTATCTTCCTTATTCTTTCATTAATATAGACAATCCCTTCCCTTTTTTTTTTTTTTTTTTTTTTTTTTTTTTTTTTAAGTCCTCAGTATTCATTCTTGTTCTCTTTTGTAGTGTAATATAATCATACAGAATTACTTTGCCTGGACACAGACCCAGTGCATTTTTTCCCTTCGATGTGATAAATTGTTCGGGTGAAGTATAAAACATCAGTTTTTATTCTAGAGGCTTTTCCTTTAATTCTAAAATGAGTGGAAAGAATAATGTATATCAAGGCTAAAATGATACTTGGAACCTGTCAAGGGACTTTGAAATTTCTGTTTTAGTCTTCTGACCATGCATTTGTGCGGCATAAGTTTTAATAATACATTGGAAATCTGCAGGGTTTTTGTTTTTTTTTTTTTAATTAAGTTTTTTAAAACCAACCTCTCTTCATTTTTCTTTTTTAAAAATCTGGTTGATATATACCTAGGCCTTCTTGTTTTTGACTTGCGAAATGTTGAGGTAAGAATTGTGACTGGAAAGGAATTAATCACTATACAAATAGATCTGGTGGGTATGTGAGTAGAGTGTTAATTTTGCTTGAAACAGAAGTATATTTTCTGCTTTGAATCTCCTCACCAGAGTCCTCTGTCAAGAGCTATGTATGATAAGAATTTCTCTTTATTGCCTGTTAGCCCACATATTCTTTCTGAAGTAGAGTAAATAAGTTCTATTTGTGAGCTGAACTTTATCATCTGCCATTTTATGGAAGCAACACAGCATTCTTTGGGGGAAGCAGAACTGATTGTCCTCGCGAGGTTATGTGACGACTCTGCTCTAAGACTTACACCTGTTGTATAGGGTTATACCTTTTTTCTTACGCCTCAGCTCTGCACCTGACAATTTATGGTTCCGTGGAGCCAAGCTAGAAGGAACAAAGGTCATGTGAGAGTGGCGAGGCTGGATTCCTGGGTGTTACTTGTGCAGGTGAAGGGGCATCCTGGAATTCTAACCAGAGTAGTTGTCGGAAGTGAGATGGCTGCTCCAGATGACTCCTGGGTTTAGTGTAACTGTGGTTGAACAAGATTTTTTTTTATGTGTGAAGCTTGATTCCACAACCAAAATAACAGAAACGTGGGGAAAATCCTGTCTGCTTATGCTTTTTAAAGCTTACGGTTGAAGTGAAAATGAATTGTAAAAACTGATTACCTTAACCCTATACAACGGGCTCTGCATGAGGAAATGGAAGGAAGAATACTACAAGTGATTCAGGAAGGTGTATGTGAGGAAGCAAAATGGGTTTCCCTTTTCTGATCATGGGCTCTGAAAGTATTCATTGCCTTTACCAGCATTCAGTATAAAC